ATATATATATATATATATATATATATATATATATACATGTATATATATATATATATATATATATATATATATATATATATATATATATATATATATATATATATATATATATGTATATATATATATATATATATATATATATATATATATATATATATATATAGGTATATATATATATATATATATATATATATATATATATATATATATATATATATATATATATATATATATATATATATGTCGTACCTAGTAGCCAGAACGCACTTCTCAGCCTACTATGCAAGGCCCGATTTGCCTAATAAGCCAACTTTTTATGAATTAATTGTTTTTCGACTACCTAACCTACCTAACCTAACCTAACCTAACGTTTTAGGCTACCTAACCTAACCTAACCTATAAAGATAGGTTAGGTAGGGTTGGTTAGGTTCGGTCATATATCTACGTTAATTTTAACTCGAATAAAAAAAAATTGACCTCATACATAATGAAATGGGTAGCTTTATCATTTCATAAGAAAAAAATTAGAGAAAATATATTTATTCAGGAAAACTTGGCTTATTAGGCAAATCGGGCCTTGCATAGTAGGCTGAGAAGTGCATTCTGGCTACTAGGTACGACATATATATATATATATATATATATATATATATATATATATATATATATATATATATATATATATATATATATCATGAGAGCTCTATAGCATCTCACAACTGTGACTCACTAGAAATGTAGACATTGGTGAGCCCTGCTCTCGACATAGAAGATACTCTGGCTAATAGCTAACTAAAGGGAAATGGGAGGGAAAACTGAATTACCTACTTCCACCATCAACGATGTGGACTCGTCCTCTGTTGAGAGTTGAATTGAAGCTCCTGGCCCCGGCTCTCGACTCGTTGTAGGGAACACCCCCCCCCACACACTGATGCTCTTCCCAGGAACTCAACCAACACCCAAAAACGCGTCTTCTCCGTACTCTTCTCTCTGCAGGCTCCGTGCTCCTCCACAACCTCTTGAAGGGTTGGAGTCGGTCTCCTGGCCATCGCCTCCTCCTCACAGCTACGTCTGCAGTCCTCACTCACGGCTGCAGTCGTTCGTATTCCCAGCTAGTTCGTTCTTCTTCTTCCTCACGGTGGATTGGCCCAGCCACTACGTCATCACCCAACTGGTGAAACTGTACAGTCATCCTGGACGTCACTGCTCAGACTTCACTTCGTGCAAAGCACCTGTCACTGGAGCACTCGTTTCCCGTCCATTCCTTCTTCTGTCCGACACATGGAGTTTAGGAAGACCTCACAGGGTGCTTGCAGACCACAGGTGATGCGTAAATCCACCGGAGATGGGCGAAACTGTCAGACTGACAGGACCCCCGATCGCGCGTCCGACCTCCTCGACGTGTCGTGTCTAACTCCTTGGCGCGACTGGACGCCGTCTGGACCCCCTTGCACTCATGACGTCATACTTGCCAGGGGCGTTTCTCATTGGCTCCCTGTGCCACGTCACTGTTCTTGACCATTCTGGTGCCACTGACGTCATAACGTCTTGGCGGGAAAACTTAGGGGCCGGCGCCATCTTGGCGTCCTAAAGGACCTAAGCCACTGGCCAAAACACTCTTCTTTGGCCAATTTCTCGACAACGCGAGAACACCTCATGCTCCCACATACGTCAAATTGTTCTCTGGAAGGTTGAGAACGTTCGGGTAAAGTAGATATGACTCTTACAGCTGGCGTGGGGGAAATATAAGGGGGGGAACACCATCACATCATTCAATTGTATAAGCCTGGTGTGCCCCCACCTGAATTATTGCATCCAGGCATGGAGACCTCATTTTCAGAAAGACATAGCTGCTCTGGAGAAGGTGCAACACCGGGCAACAAAAACCATTCCAGATTTAAGTCATCTCTCATATCAGGAATGGTTGAGGGCCCTCTGGGCTAACAACACTGGAGACCAGGCATGACAGGGCGGATCTTATAGAAACCTTCAAAATACAAAACAATTTGGAGGATGTCAATCCGGACAGTTTTTTCAAAAGGCCAGATGAAACACGAACAAGGAGCAACGGATTCAAGCTCAACAAGCCACAATGTAGGACAGAAAACAGGAGATGCTTTTTCATCCATAGAGTTGTAAACCCGTGGAACCATCTGCCCGTCGAAGCTTTAAACGCCTAAACTCTGCTGGGTTTTAAAATACAGCTAAAAAAGATCATCTGAGCTCTTGGGGGGACCTTTGACAAGCCACCGGCTTCCTGTCCTCGTCGAGGCCACTAGTATTAGCGGCCTCTCAGGTAAATTCCGGTAAATAAGAACAAAATTCAGGATCTACACTTAGTCTGAGGTTTATTGTTTATGCATTCTTTGAGCATAAGTTCCAGTAACTTACTTCCTTTACTTTGCTTTAGATAGGGTAGTATTCTGTTGTTCTAATAACAGGCAAGGAACCAAACTAGGTGTCTGGCCTCGCTATAATTTTAGAGTCTTGGTAGTATAATTGAACTCATTCTTGACTCGGTCAGGAAACCCCGGTCTGAATTCTGGCTAGGATAGAAATGTTGGACACATTGCCTATCACCTAATGCGCCTGTTCACCTAGCAGTAAATAGGTTGATACCTGGTTGATGGGGTTCTGGGAGTTCTTCTACTCCCCAAGCCCGGCCCGAGGCCAGGCTTGACTTGTGAGAGTTTGGTCCACCAGGCTGTTGCTTGGAGCGGCCCGCAGGGCCACATACCCACCACAGCTCGGTTGGTCCGGCACTCCCTGGAGGAATAAATCCAGTTTCCTCTTGAAAATGTCAATGGTTGTTCCGGCAATATTTCTTATGCTTGCTGGGAGGACGTTGAACAACCGCGGACCTCTGATGTTTATACAGTGTTCTCTGATTGTGCCTATGGCACCTCTGCTCTTCACTGGTTCTATTCTACATTTTCTTCCATATCGTTCACTCCAGTACGTTGTTATTTTTCTGTGTAGATTTGGTACTTGGCCCTCCAGTATCTTCCAGGTGTATATTATTTGATATCTCTCTCATCTTCTTTCTAGTGAGTACCTTTGAAGGGCTTTGAGACGATCCCAATAATTTAGGTACTATATTGCGTCTATGCGTGCCGTATATGTTCTCTGTATTCCCTCTATTTCAGCAATCTCTCCTGCTCTGAAGGGGGAAGTGAGTACTGAGCAGTACTCAAGACGGGACAACACAAGTGACTTGAAGAGTACAACCATTGTGATGGGATCCCTGGATTTGAAAGTTCTCGTAATCCATCCTATCATTTTTCTGGCTGTCGCAATATTTGCTTGGTTATGCTCCTTAAACGTTAGGTCGTCAGACATTATTATTCCCAAATCCTTTACATGCTGTTTTCCTACTATGGGTACATTTAATTGTGTTTTGTACTCTGTATTATGTTTAAGGTCCTCATTTTTACCGTACCTGAGTACCTGGAATTTATCACTGTTAAACATCATGTTATTTTCTGATGCCCAGTCGAAAACTTTATTAATATCATCTTGAAGTTTTTCAATGTCCTCAGCCGAGGTAATTTTCATACTGATTTTTGTGTCATCTGCAAAGGATGATACGAAGCTGTGACTTGTATTTTTGTCTATATCTGATATGAGAATAAGGAAAAGCAGCGGTGCAAGGACTGTACCCTGAGGTACAGAGCTTTTCACTGCACTTGGACTAGATTTTATATGGTTGACCGTTACTTGCTGAGTCCTGTTTGACAGAAAACTGAGTATCCAGCGTCCTACTTTACCGGTTATTCCCACTGACTTCATTTTGTGTGCTATCACGCCATGGTCACATTTATCGAAAGCCTTTGCGAAGTCCGTGTATATCACATCAGCATTCTGTTTTTCTTCTAATGCCTCAGTGACTTTGTCGTAGTGCTCAAGTAGCTGTGAGAGGCACGATCTTCCCGCTCGAAATCCATGTTGGCCTGGGTTGTGAAGGTCATTGGTCTCCATGAAATTGGTGACCTGCCTCCTAATCACTCTCTCAAATACTTTACCCACTCAGGAGTCAGTCGGCTTGTTGTGGGGTTGCATCCTATGGAGGGTCAGTAATTCGACCTTGAGGAGGGGTCCTCGATATAAGTCTAACATGTACTGTATGTATGTATGTATACCTGGTTGATGGGGTTCTGGGAGTTCTTTTACTCCCCAAGCCCGGCCCGAGGCCAGGCTTGACTTGTGAGAGTTTGGTCCACTAGGCTGTTGCTTGGAGCGGCCCGCAGTAGCAGCTAGGGAAAGTATAAAATCTCGGTTGGGCAGCAGTTGGAACCTTTGGAATCTTTTCTTATTAAGGCTGTCTCATAGTATGTTGGATTGAGCTTTGACCTCTCACTAGTGGGGTCGGCAGTTGGAGTCTCCAAGTGCTCAGGCGAATGAAATATATATACATACAGTATATGTTAGACTTTTATCAGGGATTCCCTCTCCCCTCCTAGGGATCGAATTACTGACCGTCCCCAGGATGCAGCCCCACAATGATTTGTTCATTTGGGTACCTGGGTAGCTATTTATTGCTAGGTGTACATGGGCATTAGGTGATAGGAAATGTGCCTAACCATTTCTATCCCGCCCAGGTCAATTCTAAATTCTCAACTCGCAATTCTCAATTTGCGAGTTGAGAACGGACCCGGCTGTACTACCGGGACCCTGTTTGACTGTATAGTTATGATTATGTAGGCTTAGGAAAAGTTTAATTGTTACTTTTATGTATGTTGTGAACTGTGTTTTTGGATAATTTGTGGAGCAGGGCAGTGGAGTTGAACACGCATCCTGGGTCATCTCCGATGTACGCAATAACCACCAGACCATGATGGGCTTGTGTCTTTGGTGACCCAAGATATGAGCTTGATTCAGTCAGCCTGCTCTATTAGAATGTCTCATAACTATATCATGCTATTGATTTCATTATGTATCATCTGTGTTTTCTTTGCATGTTACGATGACGATGGTGTGCTAATGAGGTTTTATGTATACAGGTTAGTGAAAGAGTACAGTTGGAGCAGGGAGGATACATCTTGCTACCCACTACCTTTGAGCCAGGTCAGGAGTCATCCTTCACGCTCAGAGTCTTTTCCTCAAAACCGCTTAAACTAAAGTGAGTGATGAAAGTGCTCATTTTTAACCATTACTAGAAATAAGTGGACGATCAATATCTGCAAATCAAATGTATGGACGCCCATTTACTGCTAGGCAAACAGAGGCATCTGTTGTGAGGAAATGTGCCCGAATGGCTCACCCTGGGCAAAGTTTCTTTCACCCTGAATGCCCCTGTTACCTAGCAGTAAATAGGTACCTGGGAGTTAGTCAGCTGTCACGGGCTGCTTCCTGGGGGTGGAGGCCTGGTCAAGGACCGGGCCGCGGGGACACTAAAAAGCCCCGAAATCATCTCAAGATAACCCTGCCCTGAATTCAAATTCGGGTCCAGATGCTTTCGTTTACCTAGCCGTAAATAGGTATCTGGGAGTTAAGTAACTTTTTTTTTTTTGGCCCGGGGGGGGGGATACCTAGCAAAGGTCATTGCTTGACCTCAGGGACTACAATAAGCTTAACAGGCTTCTTGTGCATGACCATGGGTAGCATCTTCAGGTTGATATTAAGACTCCTGTTTTTATTCTATATCACCATTGGAAAAAAAGTTTAATACTGTATGTAGTTTTCTCTAATATAATTGTTGTAAATTGTTTGTTCAATTATAATACACTATAGTGGATTCAATAATTTAAACCAAATTTCCTGGAAGGAATGAAAGGCAACATTTCCAGTTGGCAGAATCTTCAATTATCTTATTCTATAATACACCCTTGGAATTATTATAGCCTCATGCCATTACTGAATGAGTACATGAATGTGTATGTAGAATAGTTTGTAATATAATCTAATAAAATGAAATCTTAACTAATGCCTAATTACCAGGTAAGGATGAAAATGAGATCACAGTTGAAACACATTGATTATTCATATAATACATCATATTCAACCTAAAATAGTGAAGGAATCCTTCTCAGCACAATATTGTTATTCTCGTCAGAATGGTGGACACATCACCGTCATTGGTGAAGCCTGCTCTTCTCAAGGCTCGTGGGTCGGTGGATGGCAAGAGCCTCCAGCAGTACGAGGCTGTCTTCCTTCAGGTAGCTGATGAACATCGTACTGTCAATGCATTTGAGCTGCACGAGCTCCTTGAAGCTTGTCTACCTAATGGTAAGTTAATGTTTTCTTCAATTTGAGCTGCACGAGCTCCTTGAAGCTTGTCTACCTAATGGTGAGTTAATGTTTTCTTCAATTTGAGCTGCACGAGCTCCTTGAAGCTTGTCTACCTAATGGTAAGTTAATGTTTTCTTCAATTTGAGCTGCACGAGCTCCTTGAAGCTTGTCTACCTAATGGTAAGTTAATGTTTTCTTCAATAATGAAGATAATGTTTTTCATTCTGCAAATTTAACACACAAGCCTCTTGTTTGAAGTTTTTTTCTGAATTAATCTTTCTCGGTGCTTTCTTAGGCAAGAGTCCTGCTCTCTTGCCAACACTTCCTCGCCACCTGGACTGGTATGACAATTTCTGCTAACACACACACATTGCTTCTAATGGTATTATGCACATAATACCAACAAAGCCAGTACAATTTCACTACCCCTGCTGAACCAGTAGTGGGGGAAGAAAACTCTTGAAACTTCCTATTCGATTTCAAAATAATTGCCAGAAAGCATATTCCATTAAATTGAAAAGCTTTTCAATAAAAATTGTGGTCAACCTGTTTAGCTATTACATATAACTACCACAAGTAGAACCGCCTGACATGAAAACAAGCTCCCCTGATTCAAGCCATCTCACAATGGAATTTTTATCTGCAAGCAAACCATCGAGAGAAGGAACACAGTTGAAACATAAGTCCTCAAAAAAAAAAGTGTTTCATATAATGAAACACCAATTTCTGGGTGAGCCCCAATGGCTCTCTGAAGCTACTATGCTGATATACTACTGTTATACTAGCCATACTACTAGGGTTCATCAGTTATGGAGTTTTCAGCCTACCAGGAACTACGAGCCATAACTTGGACCCCCCTCTATTAAAGAGATACAGGGAGCAATAGCACTTAAGATAAAATGTCTATGAATTTATTCATATCTGCCACCACCAGGGAAGGCACCCAGAAAGTTGGTGAAAGAAAACAGACCACTGTTGGAATAAGCAAAAATACAGCCTTAAAACTGCTCAAAATAACTCTTAACACTCCTGACCATAGTAAAGATTATGTACAATGTTCATATATCAGTGAAGACAATGCTTATGATGTTCATAGTGTGAAGCAGACTTCCACAGCACACGAACATTCTTTGGAGCAGCTCTGCATCATGAAACGACTTCGTGCTCATTTAGAAAATAAACCTTGTATAAAATGATTCATATTCAGGATTTACTGACCAAGATGCTGAAAATAATAGCAACATTGTGCCTAGAGTTAGAAATTGGCATGTTAAATTGGAGGCATTATGGCGAGTCGGATGGCATCGCGTCAACTTACACGATGTCATCCATCGAGCACACAAAAAATCAGCATTGAATGTAATGAAAAAAGGACCCTCCGGAAAGCAGCAGTCTCATTCTTCGCCAGAAAAGGAGGAGACAGCTGCAGACGGACAAACCTATATCCATGGCCGAAAGAGCAGAAACCCCTGCGCCTGAGGAAAGCATGTAGTTTCCCGACCTAACCCCCGAGGCCAATGCCAACAGGAAAAGAGTCTTCGAAAAACAATTCTGAATCAAAGGGGCCACAACAAACCGAGGAGAAGAGAGATAGGAGAGCACTCTGTCCAAAGACTAGGACAGCTCAGGCAGCGCATGAGCAGGCTGGAGATGAAACAACGCCCGAGACAGCTTATGAAATGGCGCAGAAGTAACATCTATACCGACAGCAAGCTGAAGAGGCTCCGCCAGCGCTGCTCGATACGGCACACGACCACATAAGATGACGGCCCTGCATCAACCACGAGAGAAAGAACACCACCACCCGACCGAAAGCGAAGTACAACGACGAAGAGTCCAAAAGAAACAGAAGGACCGCCAGGAAACTTCATACAGCTGCAGAGACGAAGCCCGCAGGTGGGACACCATCAATGAAGCCTCCTGATCACCATTCAAATGGTGATAAACCCGAGTAAAAAAAAACAAAGGCGAAGACTCGAGGAGAAGTGCGAAATAGTCTCGTAACGGACCGGGCTGATCTTCCAAAAGAGGCGGAGTTGCGGAAAAACCTCGGGGTTTGGACACCGGGCAAGCAGCGCCTGAAACCATGGCTGGGCTGGCCACCATGGGGCCAAGAGGACAACTCGCCCATGGTAAGTCTCCAAGCGAGCTAGGACCTGGAGCAACAGCTAAACTGCGGGGAAGAGTTACAGGAACCCCCACCTAGACCAGTCCTGATGAAAGGTGTTAATCCCGACTGCCTCGCGGTCAGGGAAGGGCACCACATATACCGGAAGATGCCTCGACCACTCTGACGTGAAGAGATACCCTTCCGGGTGCCTGAACGTCTGGCAGAGCCAACTGAATGAGTCGGCATCGACCATCCATTCCATGGACAGGGGAATGAATTAACTGGGACAGGTCGTCCGCCAGGACATTGGACATCCCCCGGACATGAAACGCGAGGAGAGCCAAACCCAGAGAACTTAGCAGACGAGTCACCCGAAACGACCGACCACAAAGGGCCAAGGACTGCATCGAACCTCCTCGATTCAGGCAATAAACCATCGGGAGCAGCCCGAATGGAGCTGGATCGTCGATCCGCGGGCGACCCGAACACTCCAAGGCACAAACCACGCCGCCGCGAACTCCTGCACTATGCTGTAGGCCCAACAGAAGGACAGACCCCACCGCCCCTGGCCGGCCTAGTGAGCACTGGTCACAAAGCCCCAGCCGAGAGACGACGCATCTGTGAATACATCGACCGAGGGTTAGGGTAGGCACCAAGGCACCGAACCCCGTAAAACCCAAAGAGGAAGCCGGCGACTCAGCAGCCAACGTAAGGCCCCCCGGGAGTCGAACCCAGCAATCGCAAGAGAGGTGGAAGGGATGTCCCCGAAGGAACCAGAACAGCCAATGAAGCCAAACCTGACCCGACGGGTAGACCATCATAGCAAAGTTCAGGCTCCCACACAAACCCTCAAGCAACTGCCGGGTGACCAGGAAGCCCCCCAGAAACAAGCGCATGCAGAACCGCAACCGAAGGAGAGACTCCAGAGGAAGAGACAAGGAAGCAGCCCGAGAGTCCCACACAAGACCCAGCCAGGACCGAACCTGGGAGGGAACCAGATGGGACTTACTCCAGTTCACCCAGGAACCCGAACCCGGTGAGCTGGAAGAGCACCAAATCCCTGGCAAGCAGTCATGTGGACCGACTTGGAGCCCAAACCAGCCAGTCGTCGAGGTAAGCTAACACCCGAACACCTAATGAATGCAGACGGGCCACCACGACCCGGGTAAGGCGTGTGAACACGCGAGGTGCCAGGTTCAACCCGAAAGGGAGACAATGAGAGCGGTAACTCTGACGCCCCACAACAAAACTGAGCCAGTCCCTGAACTACAGATGAATCGGAACGTGCCAATACGCGTCCTTAAGGTCCAGGGATACCATCCAAGCACCCGTCTCCAACAGAAACCAAACCTGGGACAGAGTGGTCATCCGAAAGGAGGGGCAAAAAACCCAGGGGTTCAGATGGGGCAAGTCCAGAATGAACCGCAGGTCCGCATAGTCTCGTTTTGGAAATGGAAACAGGCGGGAAACCCACCAGAGGGACGTCATTGTTTTGACCAATCTGAAGCGCACCCACTCCAAGACGACCCGACAGCGCAAAAGAGGCTTGCCCTGCCAGCCCCGAACCCCCCGAAGGAGGAGGAGCCACCCAACGCCATCGAATTCCGCGAGAAATGACCAGAAAAGCCCACGAATCGTGGGACGAGGTGTGAGCGAACAGAGCAAGCCTTCACCCCCATCGCCCCATCAATGAGGTAAACCACAAAAGAGCTAATGCCCTTTACAAAAACCCGACTTGCACACAGAGCGAGCACCGCGCCAACCAGGCGCAGCCAGGAACAAAGGCTGCCCCTGCCCCGAAACTGGCACCTGTGGCCCACTTCGACGGGCGGAACCGTGGGCCCTGCCATGACCCGTCCAGGAGTAACCCACCCTGGATCCCCGGAGAACCAACAGGTCAGACATTGGGCGGCAGCTGGAAGAGGCCATTTCACCACAGAAGCAGCACGCAACAAAGGACAAAAGGGCGAAGACAGTCTAAGAGCCAGGGCTCAAGCGGATTCCAAGGAGGAAGCGAGCACCAACTGCCAACAAGTGAGGCGCGCAGGGAAAAACTGCAACAGCGCATCCTGCAGGATCGGAGCAAACAGCTTCAAAAGTGCAGATGACACACGAACAGCCGAGGCCAAGGCGCTAGACCCAGGAATGGCCCCAAGCGTCTCTACATCCTCTGTAAGCCAATCTGAAGATGGCTCAAGGTGGGAAAAGAAACGCAGGACTGAAGCTCCGTACATGCAAGTCCTCAGCCACAAGCGCTGCCGACAAGGATGGTACCTGCACATGAAGCTGAACCACACCAACATTCTGCAGAAGAGCCGGAGCGAAAAGGCACTCGTTAAGGTGTGCAAAGTCGCCCCACCCCCCGCCAGGTAAACCTGGACCACAGAAAACGCCTCATGCCACTCAAGCATGCGGGTACGACAAAAGGTGTCCCAAGCATCCAGCGAAAACATAGGGCTGTCCGCTAGCCAGGACTACTCTGGAACCTCATAATGAACCCAGTATGGAGATGAAGACCCAAAAATGAAGGAAGACGGATCCATTATAGAGGCATAATCCAGGTCGCGCAGGAGGTAAGCCGCAATGGCTGCCCGTACCTCGGCCGGAGAGACGCGGGAAGCCGAAAACCTCCGGAAGGACAGAACCGAAAGACCTGCAGAGAGACGGAACCGAACCTGAGGAGGAGCTGAACCCAAATCCAAATCATACGCTGATGGGGGAAATGAAAAACCCCCTCCTTGTAACAACAAGCCTTGCTCGGAGGGTCGGAAAACCCAGGCAAGGTCCAACAGGGCCCAAGGCCCCCATGTCATCTCCTCCCCAACCCCGGGAACCTCCACGTCAGGCCCTGAGGCCGAGTCGTCCTCCAAAGCCCTGGCCTCACAAGAAAAAGCAGGGGCAACTGGAATAGCAGGAAGAGGAAGGGCCCACTGGTCAGACCCCGGAGCTATGGTTGGAGGAACCGACTCGAATGCCTCCACAGCCACTCTTGAAGGGGCAACCCCCAAAACTGCCCAAGTCTCAGAAACCTCTAAACCCTGCCCCAACCCCGACGCCCTCAGATGCTTAGGAGCCGGAAGCAGGGGAAAGGGGGGGGGAAACCAAATGAACCACAGCAGGGTAAGAACGAGGGGGCGCAGACGGAACCAAGACCGAAACGACCAACACCCCAAAGTCTGGGTCCCTATAAACAAAATGGGGCATCCTCGGGGCATCCGGGGAAGCAACCAACCTAGCAAAGGGGCTTCCCCTTCTAAACCTAAACGTATCTTGTAATGCGCGAGCTGCCTGCACCCGAATATTATCATCATCAGATTGGGTGAACTGAGTCACATACAAGCAACAAAGCTCGCAGGACTCCACGTCGAATGTGTTATCGATCCAACAGGCAGCATGACAGAAGCAAAAACAATGAGCGTCACCCTGAAACAATGGGACAGAGCAACCCTCAAACTTGCAAAAAGCGAGTGGAGACTCGGGTCACATCCATTGGACCCGAGCGCCCCGTAGAGTTTCCCAGGGCTGCTAGACTGGGTCTGTTAAGGGTTATCCTAGGCAAGGAACTGCTAACCGGTGCCCAAGCTACCAATCACCGCTGCTAAAGCTGAACCCTCGGACGTGTCCACTCAAGAGGGTGATGCAGGGGGGTACCACCAAACACAAACAATCCAATTATAAAGGGGGAAGGAACACAAAGGCTGACCCCCCCCTACCAAGCAAAAAGAAAAAGAAAGAAAAACCTCGCAAGAGGACAGCATACCCAGAGCCAGCTGCTGTTAAAGGTGAAAACTAGCTACGCAGTGCAAAAACTACCACTTACCCCCAAGGAGATTCCTGGCTGCGCCACCAGAGGGTGCAGACGTCGAGCTCTGGCTGTCAGTGGTCGTTTGCCGTTGCTGAGTGGCGGTTGCTGTGGGGGGGTGTGGAGCTCCCGCTGGTCGGGGCCCCACCTGCCAGTATGGACGGGGCTGGTACTGGCCGTATCAGAAGACTAGACACAGTGCGGCTGGATTTTTCTGCTGATGTGGGTTGGCCCATTGTAGAAGTTGCCCTCCTCGACGTCCTCCGTGTTGACGTCCCTGAGCTCCTGGGCCTAGAGAAGTTGTCGCCCGCCCGTGTTGCGGTGTCGTTCGCCAAGTCAACTGTATACCGGGAGTTTGTGGCCCGCTGGAATGGCCGCACGCTTCCTCTTCCGGATTCGGCTGTGTCTGTAGAGATCTCGGATCCCTGGGGGGCCTTGACGTTTGTGAGTATTCACGGCGTGCCGGTGACCTTCCCCGAGGCGGCCCTCATGGCCTTGTTTACGCGGTTTGGGTCGGTGGTGAAGCACCGGTTCAACACTTTGAGTGCGGGCCGACTGAAGGGGGTCCGACTGGGTTCACGCACGCTTATCATGCGGCTCACAAGCCCTATACCGTCCAGGGTCTCATATCGTGGGCTGTCTCTGAGGACCTTCTATCAGGGGCAGACCCGGACGTGTTTCCGGTGTGGTGCTGAGGGCCACGTCGCGGCCGGTTGTGACGCTCCTCATACAGATGCCCTTCAGTTTTCCTAGAGGATGATTTTCCACGCTTATCTGTGCGTGTGGACTCCCCGGCGGATTCTCGCTCTGTGCTCGTGCCTGGTATGGATCCTGCGGCGGTTCCGGATGTCGATGCGGCTGGACCGGATGTGTCTGCCCCGCCAGTGAGCTCGGGGGACCTGGGGGCGCCTGTTTCGGACCTTCATCGTTCGATGACTGTGGACGTGCATCCGCATCCGGTGACCTTGGGGATGCTGTAGGGGTGGTGCCCGAGTCTCCTGCTGGAGGCCGTGTGCTTCCCGGGGCTGACGGTGCGGTGGTATGGTCGCCATCCCTGGATACCTCACGTGTGCTGACGTCTTCCCTTCCGCCTGTTGTGTCTCTTCCTTCTCCGACTCCGGTCTCCGTTCCTAGTGGTGGCTTTTTGCCCCGCGTTGTTGAGGCTGCTGTTCTGCATGAACGTGCTGCCCCGATTTTGGGGCCGCCTGTCTATGGTTCTTCTGGGTCACCGCTTGTTGGGGGTGACAGCTCCGACGATCAGCGGCCTCTGTTTAAGCGCCGTCGCTCGGCTCGGGGTGTGTCACCTCGCCAGTCGTGGGCAGAGGAGCGGAATGAAATGGAGGATGATGATGTGGCTGACGCTGTGTTGCCTCCTGTGGTGCCTTCTGAGTTGGATGCTGTGCCTCCTGCTGGTGGCTCCCCTCAGTGGGCTGTTGCCCCTGGTAAGAGCGACCTTGTGGTGGTGTTGAAGAAGGATGTGAAGCGGGGGGCCTCTGCTCCTGTTCCGGTTGGTGGGGGCTCTAGGGCCCTTGCGGAGCCACCCTCCGCGGGTCTCGGTGCGGTTCCTGACACCGAACGGTGTGCACGCCCTAGTGGGCGGGCCAGTGTGCGGCCTGCAGTGCAGTCAGAGGTGCTTCAGAGTGTGCGCCCGTGTGCCCAGCGTCCTCGGGGGAAACCTGTCCCTTTTGTCCTCTCGACTGGAGAGGTGCTCGACGGATCTACGGCAACTGTGACTTTTCAGTGTGATGACTTGGTGCGTCCTGTTCCCTGGTGCCCTTCTACCATCTGGGTTCCACGAGAGCAGTGTTTTGTCTCGGGAGTGCCGAATTCGATGCCTCGGCCTACTGCGACTCCTGGGTGTCCGATTTCTGACAGTCTCCAACTTGTTTGGGAGGCTTATTGTTTACGGTTTCCTGCTCGGGAGTACCCGGAGAAGTATGAGTGATTGGTTTATTGGTGTGTTTGGTTTCTGTCTGTATTGTGTATGATGTTTCCCCGGTGCCTGCGTGCACAGGTGGGTGTTCTTGTCTGTGCGTGTGGGTAGTGTGGGTATTGTTCTTGCCCCAGCATGGCTTGTTTTCTTGTATGTTTTGTGCTATGCACTTGGTGTGTGTGTTTGTGTTGTGTTTTATGTTCTTTATGTGATATTTATTTGTGACATTCTGTTTGTGTGTGTGTGTGGGGGGGTATGTAACCTCCAGTGCCCGTTTCGGGGTTTTCTCATTGTGCCTTAATTTGTTTCTTGGTTCTTGTATGTTTCGTTTGCATCCGTGTTTTCGCACTTTGCTATGTTTGTCCTGTATGTATGTATGATTTGTTTTCTATTGTCTGGTTTATATATTGTGTATTTCTTTTATAAAAATCTAATTTTGTATATGTAGGCGTGTCTGGTGTATTCTGTGTATGGTTGTTGTGTCTTTCCATGTCCGTATGCGTCTGTTTGTTGTATGTCCATTATTATGTTTAATTTTGTATTCGGTCTTATGTCCCTGGAGTTTCTAGGGTCTTGTACTGCAATGTTCTTTTATGCCTGTGTTTCTACTTATGTTTTGTTGTTCTGTTCTTGTTCTTCTGTTCATGTCTTGTATATTGTGCTATACTTTGTATATTTCTTTTATAAAAATAAAAAAATAAAAACTTACCCCAAGGCAAACTAGGGAGGAAACCCACCAAAACACTCGGGGCGGTCAATCGCCAAGCAGCGAAAGACCAACAGAGGTACACCCAAGGTGACTTGTGGAAGGTAACCCCAAGCCCCTAGCGTGGTACTTGCAGGGCACTTAGGGAAGGGAGCCCTAAAAGCATGCACCCCGAATACAAAGGAATAATACTCCCAGCTCACACACCACCGAAGAGAAGTACTGAACCCAGGCACAGCACAATAAGAATCTGGAGCTGGAGCCACAACGACCAAACCTTATCCCATCAGCTGAGGAACTGAGGTGTGGATCACCGGCACGGGAGTCTCGGGCTTTCCCTTCTCCCTCTTGGGGAGGAGGGAGCTGCGCAGACATGGGGCACGGCTCGTGTGACGTTATGCTCGTTTGCTCGTTTTCAATTGGGGGAGCTCTGTCCACTAGTTCCGTTATTTTCGTTGGTTTCACCAGAATAGGGGTTTGTTTTGAGGTGCTTAGCTTTCTGGGTACCTGTCCTGGTCGATGGCAGATATAGAATGTTCCAAAATCATATGTGCATTCTATAGGCCATTGCTCCTCGTGCCTATCTGAGGAGGTCAGGTTCTGGCCATGGTCCCCGGTAGGCCTAGAACTCCACCCACATCAACTGATGCAGAAAGTTAAGACTATTCCTATCAGCCTGGATAGCTCTGGGGAGCCGTAGAGATTCCCCCAGAAATATTTTTGTGTGCCTGACATCCGTTAAGAACACAAAAACATCTAATAATATCAGACCTCTACATAACAAAACACATGCTTCAAAAGATAAACCCCACAAGTCACTTAATTGAATTCCAGTCTCCTATTTGTCCAGTAACTAGCACAGGTCAATCAGATTGTGAAGTGGTTCTAATCATGAGACCCTGTGTTTTTCAGGTGTTGTCATCTGGTGGAGATCAGGTGTAGTAGCCGAGTGGAGCAAGCAACGGTTTTGCTAGAACAGTGCTGATTAGTCTTTTGAAAGACTTAGAATTTTGTGGAATATGTTGTATGACAGTTATTCTGTGCTGGATTGTGCATTCTTCAGTGTGTGTATAGCATTAGATGACCCCGCAGGATCCGTTTGACAACATTTCAGAATGGTGATGCACATTAACGACCTGTTCTGTGAACAGGACACTCATTCCCTCAAGAAATAACCAAGTAGCATAGCTCAAAAAGTAACTTATTAATGTTATAGCAAATGTTGATTCATCAATCAGTTTATTTTTATAAATTTCAAAATATTTCCCCCAAATTCATTTATCTTATATTTTTCAGATTATATCAAAAGCTGTGCCAGCCTGGACATCTGCCGACAAGTGATCCTGGCGTTGGATGTATCCTTTTGTTTTACTATCTTGATTTTCATTATTTATTTACAAATTACACATAGAACTGGATTCATAGAATTTCTCAGTTACCTAAACTTCTCAGACTTGCATCAATAAAGAACAAATGGAACATACTTTCCTCCTCAGCTCTCTCTTGCCTATTTATTGCCTGTCTCTACCTCCTCATCACAATCGACTTGAGAATGGTCCAGGAAGGACCGAAACGTCGTCGTCCCTTCAACTTCTAGTGTGTGGTCTGGTCATCAAATGGAACATAGTGTTTTACTGTAATATTGGTCACAATGTAGAACACAAATATAATTGTACTCATAAATTAGCTTTTTATGACAAAATTAGACAAGTATGTGTTAAATGATACAAAAGGAGGATACTGATCTGGTTTCTTTTTATTACTAAAATATAAGTAAGTATGAATCAAAGAGCTTAGTGAAAGGCAGGCAACAAATACAGGGCAGAAACCCCTGCACTGGAGAAGAGCATGAAGCTCCCCCACCCAACCCCCCAGGGGCTAAAGCCAACAAAAACAAGGCTTTCAGAAAACAATCCCGAACCGACAGGGCCACAACAAACTGAGGGAAGGAAAGAAAAGAGAGCACAAGGTCCAAAGACAAATATGGCTCAAGCGGCGCATGAGCAGGCCGGAGGTGAACAATGCATGTGAAAGCTTGCGGAACGGGGCAGAAGTAACATCCACGCAGAAAGCACACTAGATTGACTCCGCTGACGCCGCAGGATACGAAGTGACAGTATTTGACATGATATGCCTGTCGAAAAAGAGCCACGAGAGAAAGGACAAAACAACTTGGTTGAAAACCGAAGAAACCCCTCTGAAGAGAAAGGAACTGACGGAAAGACCACCAAGAGACTTCATACTGTCGCTGGGAGGAGGGGAGGGGGGGGGGGGGTTTGCTAGTTGATTAGACATTTGCTTGTTTGTTGTTTTGGGGAAGGGGAGGGAGTTTCTTGGGTTCTGCTTGGTCTTGGGTTGCAATGTTTTTCCAGTTGGGGTTTGTAATGGTTTGCCTACCTTTCTCGGTGATACCCCCTAGTCAATGGCAGACATGACTATAGTGTACTCCCAATAAGTAGTGTTCATAAGCCATTGCTCCTTGCACCTCTCTGAGGGAACCAGCTTCTGGCTCGTGGTTTCCGGTAGGCATAGGAATTCCCTGTGACTGATAAAGCCAAACTAATATAGCACATATCAGTTCATATAACTTCAGGGAGACTCCGGGGCTTCGCCCAGAAAATGGCATTTCATTACATTCACCGCTGTTTTTTTTTTGTACTACTGTAAATTATGCTACATACATATTCTGACGTAAAAGGTAATTAGGTTGTAGAATTTGGTTCTATCACTTTAAGTCTGAAAAAATAAAGCTAAAAGGCAAACTTAAATATTCCTAGGCCTAGTATAGCACATATATGTACTATATTAGACCTCATATAACATGCATTAGGCCTAGGAAGGTTAGGTTAGTTTAGGTTTTATTTGTAACATAAATATATAACCTTTTTCGGTTTGTCAAAATTCAGTAGTACCGATTTCTACTGTATAATTGCCTCTTACACCACTATATATTGGATGTTGCCCATCGTTACTATAAGTACTACCTAAACAGACGAATGGGCTGCCAAATGTGGTCACTTCTACAAATTTATGATCCTAAGTTTGCCAGTTAAGTGTTTCAAAAGGTTTTGAGTTTTTTCACTTATTTAGTGGTGGCAATCTTGGCTGGATTGAGTATTTCCTCTTCGCATCAGTGTGATCCAACGAGGACACTTTGAAAATGTCCCAACTTCAGTGATGAAGATTGTTAACCTGCTCTGGTTCCAGGAGATTCATTGCCATGAGAATATGTAAGTGGTACAGCTTAGAAGTGTTAATAACTTAGCGACATTTTATGATTGTTACATTCTAAATACAAAATCTATTATGTCAAAACCTGGATTTGAACATCTTGTATAAAAAATTTGTCTCCTTAACTTTGTTAATAGTGCTCATCCACGGGTCGCCTACGCTTCTCAGATTTTAAGGACCTGATGGTCAGTCTAAAGTTCTGGCAGAATGCTTTCAAGACTCATACAAAGGAAAGAACTGGCATCCTGAAGGCAGAGAGGCTGAGAGACGCACTGGAAGATGTTGGTGAGTATCAGATTTTCATCTCTTAATCCCAAAGGAACAGTACTGAATGCTGCATTATAAAAAATAACGCAGAATCTACAGTGATTTTTTTTTTTTTTTTTTTTTTTTTTTAGATATATACAAGTGTTGTTACATTCTTGTACAGCCACTAGTACGAGTAGCGTTTCGGGCAAGTCCTTAATCCTATGGTCCCTGGAATACGATCCCCTGCCGCGAAGAATCGTTTTTTCATCCAAGTACACATTTTACTGTTGCGTTAAACAGAGGCTACAGTTAAGGAATTGCGCCCAGTAAATCCTCCCCGGCCAGGATACGAACCCATGACATAGCGCTCGCGGAACGCCAGGCGAGTGTCTTACCACTACACCACGGAGACTTAATTATTAGGTCTTGGTTTCCCATAGTCAGAGGCAGGAAGCATGTTAGGTTTGTGGAGGTCCCTCAAGGGCCAACTGCTGATGACTATTCCCAGGATGCAACCCACAACAGTTGCTTAACTCCCAGGTGCCTATTTACCGCTTTCTATCTGTTATATCAAGATGAAGATGGATGGGTTGATGAATGAAGGCTTCCTTTAGTTGGTTATGTTTATTGAAGAAGTAGATAATTGTAGTGAGTTGGAAAGTGATATGTACCAAGACTTAGCCACTAGCTATGTGCTACCTCTCTGGAGGCTAAACACTGACTGCCATATGCACGCCTGGTGTTCGGCACAGCACATACAAGTACTCTGAGCTCCGTGCTCTGATTGGCTAATCTTGATTCTACAAGATGTCTGTTAAAACATACTGCAGACACATCAGGTGAAAGAAAAGGTTTCCACCCATCTATGTCCTGCCCGGGGATTGAACCTGCAACCCTCAGCTACATGACCAGGATTACACCCTGTTGATGGACCCTGCCTCTTTTCTGTTTTGGTCTTCTCCTTATTGGATGCATGACAAGGATCTGGAGTTTTCCTGGCAGGCAGACAGTCCCTTACCCTTACTTGGTGTTTGACGTGACATTTGTCAGACCTTCACGCTTGAGTGGTGTTAGGTGCCAACCATGTTACAGGTTACAAAATATTGCCGGAACAACCGTGGACATTTTCAAGAGGAAACTAGATTTATTCCTCCAAGGAGTGCCGGACCAACCGGGCTGTGGTGGGTATGTGGGCCTGCGGGCCGCTCCAAGCAACAGCCTGGTGGACCAAACTCTCACAAGTCGAGCCTGGCCTCGGGCCGGGCTTGGGGAGTAGAAGAACTCCCAGAACCCCATCAACCAGGTATCAACCAGGTATTTTCGTGGGCTCTTCTTTTATACCCCTCGACGGCTGCCTGTTTGTTCCCACTCTTTCACAGGATGTGGGTCTTGTGCAGTTGCATGCCCAGGTTCCCTTATTGTCGGCGGTGCTTGTGACGGATGACCTTTGTTGTCGGCGGTGCTTGTGACGGATGACCTTTGTTGTCGGCGGTGCTTGTGACGGATGACCTTTGGGCCTATCTATATTTGGGTTTCTTCCATCATCAGAGAAGCCCCCAGAAAGATGATAAACTTTATATGTAAAATGTTCATAGGCCATTACTCCCTTCACATCTCTGGAGGGGGCCAGGTTCTTGCTCGTGATCACCGGTACACCAATAGAATTATCTGATTGATAACTACTAGTAGTATGGAACTTAATCAGTGTAATTACCTAAGTGTAGTTACAGGATGAGAGCTACGCTCGTGGTGTCCCGTCTTCCCAGTACTCTTTGTTATATAACGCTTTGAAATTACTGACGGTTTTAGCCTCCACCACCTTCTCACCTAACTTGTTCCAACCATCTACCACTCTGTTTGCGAAAGCGAATTCTCATATATTTCTTCAGTAGCTTTGTTTAGTTAGTTTAAATCTATGACATCTTGTTCTTGAAGTTCCAGGTGTCAGGAATTCTTCCCTATCAATTTTATTGATTCCTGTTACTATTTTGTACGTAGTGATCATATCACCTCTTTTTCTTCTATCATCTAGTTTTGGCATATTTAATGCCTCTAACCTCTCCTCGTAGCTCTTGCCCTTCAGTTCTGGGAGCCATTTACTTGCATGTCTTTGCAGCTTTTCCAGTTTGTTGATGTGTTCTTAAGATATGGGCACCACACACCTGCTGCATATTCTAGCTTTGGCCTAACAAAAGTCGTGAACAATTTCTTTAGTATTTTGCCATCCATGTATTTAAAAGCAATTCTGAAGTTAGAAAGTGTAGCATAGGCTCCTCGCACAATGTTCTTAATGTGGTCCTCAGGTGATAATTTTCTATTTAGAACCACTTCTAGATCTCTTTCTTTAACAGAATTCTTTAAAGATTTCTCACATAATATATAGGTTGTGTGGGGTCTATGTTCTCCTATTCCACATTCCATAACATGGCATTTATTCACATTAAATTCCATTTGGCAAGTGGTGCTTCATACACTTATTTTGTCCAAATCTTCTTGAAGGGCATGACAATCATCTAAGTTTCTTATCCTTCCTATTATCTTAGCATCATCAGCAAACATGTTCATATAATTCTGTATTCCATCTGCAGATCGTTTATGTAGACAATGAACATTACCGGTGCAAGATCTGAATCCTGTGGTACTCCACTTTTTAACATTTCTCCAGTTCAATACATTGCCTCTGATTACTGCCCTCATTTTTCTGTCTGAACATTTTTCATCCATGTTAGAAGCTTACCTGTCACTCCTCCAATATGTTCCATTTTCCAGAACAACCTCTTATGTGGAATTCTGTCGAAAGCCTTTTTAGGTCCAGATAAATTCAGTCAACCCAACCATATCTTTCCTGTAAAATCTCTGTGGCTCAATCATAGAAACAAAGTCAATTTGTTACACAGGATCTTCCAGATCGAAACCCATACTATCTGTCTGTTATTATATCGTTTTTCTCCGAGTATTCTACCCATTTAATTTTAATTATTTTTTCCAATATTTAGTCTATTACTCTTGTCAGTGATACAGGTCTATAATTGAGGGGGGTCATCTCTGCTGCCACTTTTCTAGATTGGAACTATGTTATCCTTTTCCCCACACACATCTGCTAGGACTCCTATACACAGGGATGCCTGAAAAATCATTTGAAGTGGAATATGAAGCTCAGATGCACATTCTCTCAGAACCCATAGTGAAACTCCATCGAGGCCAACTGCTTTGTTCTTACTTAGCTCGTTGAGCATTTTTTCCACTTCGTCTCTAGACACCTCTATGTTATTCTCTAGAGTTCTTATTGTGTCTGATTCATTTTCATTTTTTACAAACACACTTTGGAAACTTTTCGTTTAATGTTTCACACAGTTCATTTTCATTTTCCGTGAATCCGTTTCCCACTTTCAACCTCTGAATAATATCCTTTACCTGCAATTTGTTGATGAATTTACAGTATAGAATAGGCTTGGTTCTGTTTTACATTTGTCCGCTATCCCTTTCTCAAAATATCTTTTATCCGCTATCCCTTTTTCAAAATTTCTTTCTGCCTCTCTCTCCTCACTCACTGCTGTGTAGTTGGACTGTCAGCCGTCCTTTTCTTGGAAAGGGGAATGAACTGGAACAAGCCATCCACTAGGACATTGGACATCCTCTGAGTGTGAACCGCCAGGAGAGCCAAACCCAGAGAATTCAGCAGACTGTCACCGAAAGTGACAAGCCCCAAAGAGCCAAGGACTGCATTGAACCCCTGCAGTCCCCCTGCAGAAAGTGCACCACCGCAGACTCTGCAAACAGCATCGGACAAAAAGGGGATGAAAATCTAAGTGCCAGGTCCCAAACAGATTCCAAAGAGTGGACGAGCACTGCCTGTCTGAACGCGAGGTGCGAAGCAAAGAACAGAGACACCGCTTCCTTTAGAATCAACGCAAACAACTTCAACAAGGCAGTCGACGTCCGAGCCACCAAGGCAAGCGCACTGGACGCTGGCCCGGAGCCTGGCTCGCCCACATCCTCCTCAAGCCGGTCTGAAGACAGCTCCAGCAGGAAAAAGAAGCACAAAACCGATGCCAAATGCCCACGGGCATGCAAATTCTCAGCCATCAGGGACGCCAAAAGAGAGGGACCCTGCATGTGAAGCTGCACCTGGCCGATATTGCAAGGAAGGACAGGGGCAAACATGCATGCATTGAGGTGCTCAAACTCGTCTCCCAGGTAAACCTGAACAACCGCAGTCAACTCCCTCCATTGAGGTGCTCAAACTCGTCTCCCAGGTAAACCTGAACAACCGCACTCAACTCCCTCCATTGAAGCTTGGTGTGCGGGTCCTACCTAATGAAAAGAAAGGGCAGTTTGTCAGCCAGGAAGACTCCGGCACCTCGTAATGCACCCAATAAGAAAAAAAAGGAGCCAAACTCAAAAGGAGGAGGATCTATTATTGAGGCATAATCAGGGTCTCGCAGGAGGTAAGCCACAAGGGCTTCCCATACCTCCCCAAGCGGGATGCGGGAAGCCGAAAACCACCGGAAGGAGAAAACTGAGGAGCACAAGGGAACTCGGAACCGTACCCGGGAAGGAGCCAAACCCATATCAGACTCGTACAGGGAGGGAAGCAGGGATAGGAAAACCCCTTCCCCTGTAACAACAACGCTCCGCGCCAAGGGTACCAATACCCAAGCGGAGTCAGACAAGGCCCAAGCCCCCAAGTCAGCTCCTCCCCAGCCCCGGAATCCTCCAAATCAGGACCCGGGGCCGAGCTGTCCTCCAAACCCTCTACCTCAAGAGAAAAGGCAGAGTCCACCTGAAAAGCAGGGATGAAGGGAGTCCACTGGTGCAACTCAAAAGCCCTGACAGAAGGAACAGGCTCAAAAGCTTCCACCACCGATCCAGAAGAGGCAGTCTCTGAGGCTGCCCAAGTCTCACCACCATGAAAACCCTGCCCCAACTCTGAAACCCTCAGACATTTGGGAGCCGAGAACAGGTGGCGAGGGGGAACAGGATGAACCACAGCAGGGAAAGGACAAGGAGGCGCAGATGAAACCAAAGTCAACTAA